TGAACTAAAATAACCGCAGGGAAACTTGTAAGTAGAAAAGTCGTCAACCACAATCTGTACTAGTACATCGTTAGATAGAGAGAGGGGGAGAGAGAGAGAGAGAGAGAGAGAAAGAGAGATAGCAGATAGGGGCGTTTGATAAGGAATCTGAAAAAGTAAACAAACAAGGTACGACGCTTTACAGCCTTATTGTGTCGCCCACTAAATTTGCACACGTGACCACTTTTTGTTTCTTCCTTATCTTTCCTTTTTGTTTCTTCCTTATCTTTCCTTTTTGTTTCTTCCTTATCTTTCATCCTTCCCAAAATGGAATTCCTGAAATAGTTTGTTGGTATAATCTCCCCTCCCACACAAGGCCAAAAACCAAAACCAGTGCTCAGTGTGCACTGTAGGTTGTCACGGCAACCGTGTGTCGTCATAGTGACGAGCCAATGCGTTGTACATTACGATAGTTTGTCTCTTTCGTATCTCCTCAAAATTACGATTGATAATCATTGCGTCTTGACTGAGCCAAGGTTCGTGCTTATCAAACCTGGAATGCATGAACAACGTAGAATTGTGATAACTTTGTTTTCATTTACGACACAAATTAAGTGTTTTTTGTTTTGTTTTGACTTAGTACTAAAAGCTCGGCTCGAACCTCGAGCTTTTTCAAAATGCCTCGAGCGAGCCGAATAATAAAAAGCTCGACCAAAAAGCTTGAAAATTTGAGTACTCGCACACCCCTAATAGTGATGTTTGGCTTAGACTTAGGGGTTACATGACATTTAGAGAATAGAAGTATTGACTCGCCTTTGGCTCGCTGGGGGCTCCGCCCCCAGGCCCCCTAGCTGTTAGTCGTCATTAGTAAATTATAGTTTAGTTTTTACAATGCAGTCAGTGTAACAGTCAATATAAAAACGTGATATAAAAACAATTTCAAGAATATATTAGAGGAGGTTGGCAAGCTAATTTCAAGCTCCAACATAATGAACCCCTTAAAAGAAAATCAATTTTAAAGTTGCGGTAAGAGGGTATGTTAGTAAAGTATTATTTTAGCTAAGTTTTTGGTCAAACAAAGTGATAATATAATTGGGGTATAAAGCGAAAATCGATATTGAAGTAATAACCATTTCACGAATATATTCGAGTAGATTGATAAGTTGAGAATAGTAAAGTATTATATGAAGTAAATAGATTATAGTAATTCTTTATGTATTTATGAAAATTGATGAAGTTGTGTTTGTTTCCCTGTTAGTTAGCCACAAACTGTATGGCATATCCAGTTCCGCCACGGGGAGGCCAGGAAACGTAGGAACCATATTAATTTACAATTATTTATATTAACAGTTATAGTATTCCAAGTAAAAAGATGTTAGTAAACATTTATAAATTTATCAATGAAAATCTATTAAGCAATATTTGTTTCCCTGACGGTTAGCCATAAACTGTATGGCATATCCAGTTCCACCACGAGGAGGCCAGGAAACGTCGGAACCATATTTACAATTACTTACAAATGTACAAGTTAGTAAACTTTTGTATAAGATGAGTAGATTGATAGGTATGTTGATTGATAAGTGAATAAGTTAATAATAGTAAAGTATTATATGAATTAAATAGATTATTGTAGATATTCATGTATATATTTATGAAAATAGATCAAGTAATGTTTGTTTCCCTGTCGGTTAGCCATAAACTTTGTGGCATATCCAGTTCCGCCACGAGGAGGCCAGGAAACGTCGGAACCATATTTACAATTATTTACAAATGTACAAGTTAGTAAACTTTACTAACTACTTAGGCCCGGTTTCCCCAAAATGGTGTAAACTACGTTTATAATAAACTAGTTTATTTTTAAACTCCGTTTAAAATGTGTGTTCGGTTTCTCCAACATTTTACTGGCTTCGTTTAAGATAAACGGCAATTCGAGCGGTTGGCAATCCTGAATGTGTATTTGTAAGGAATCTTCGGTGGCCTTTGGGCTAGTGTTTCCTACAACCACCACAACGCTACGCTACAACTCAGTAGAGCAGACAGTACAGTGTGAATGCAGCTATAGAATAACATCACTGTTTAAGGTTATGTTATCAAGTTATTATAAGTTGTTGTCAAATTCAGATTTATTCCATTTATTGAAATGGTCAATTCTGTCCCTTATTTTAGTAGGCCCTCTTGTTCTAGGTACTAAAGTATCATAATCTTCATCTTCTACTTCTTCGGAAATGTCTATTAACTCTTCCGTTTGAGGGGGTAAATAAGTTACTGCAATTAATTAATAGTAGCCTAACTTGAAATAAAATCAAATGTAGGCCTACTAAAAAAAGAACTTAATAAAAACAATAAATTAAAATTTAAATCAAACTTAACTTAAAGCTATCCCTAAACCAAGCCTATTTTCGTCCAAATGAATTTGTAGTTACTTCAATTATTATTGTTTTAACACCTACTTTTTGTTTTGATTTGAGGTTATGTTACTGTTGTAATTTACTAATTTGAACTCAGTTTATTTTATTCCCAGTAGTTAAACCTAGTCGAGAGGTGGTTTAGTTTGAACTTAGATTAATACCTAGTTTAAATTTGGGGAAACACAAATCAAAGTTAACCTAAGTTTAAAACGCCGTTTAACTTAAAACTAAGTTTAAGTGAGTTGGGGAAACCGGGCCTTAAAGAAATATATACAACAGGGATTAAAAAATAAGACAATAAACTTGGTAAACATATCATCCATCACTCAAAGATGATGAGTTGGTGTTAGTTAGTGTGGTGTGAGCACCCAATGAGGCCTCCCAGTTTCTAGAACCTTCACTTCCTCACAACTTATCCTATCGTGCTAAAAATAACTCTTACATCTTAAACGCAGAGAATATTACAGCAGTCCGAGCCTAGGCAGTCAAAGTATTTATTTGCACATAACATTTATGGGTTACAGCAGGTAACATCAAACTGGTGCATCGTCATTACATTTCTAAAAAAGAAACAATACAACTAGCTATGACACAAATAAACATCTAAATATTTAACAAATTCTTCAGCACTATATACACTTAATTCTAAGAGGAGTCGCTTCAAATAAGACTTATATCTAATTAAATCTAATTACATGGTTGGGTAATTTATTGTACATTCTTTTACCCAGCTCAAAAGTTGAATTAATTGTCCTTCGATAGTTACATTGGTCAGTTCTTAAATAATTGTTTTGCCTAGTAAAGTAGTTATGAACAGAGATATTAGTTTGAAACTGCTCTAAATTAGTTCTAATGTACATTTTTTAAGCAATCCAATATAAACAAAGAGGGAACAGTCATTACTTTAAGTTTCTTAAAAAGTGGTTTGCAATGGGTCCTACGATTAACACTGAACATGATTCTTAAGGCTCTCTTCTGAAGCCGCAATAATTTTATTGTATTACTGTCATAACCCAATGACACTATACCATATGACAGGTGGCTTTGTATATGTGCAAAATACACAGCAGCCAAAACATCAATATTAACAATTAACTTAAGTCTTCTAATCATAAAGATTGCTTTAGCTACCTTATTGCACAAAGATGTAATGTGTTCATCCCACTTAATATTAGTCTGTAAAGTAATACCTAAAAACTTAACACTTGACATTTCATCAGAGGAATTTCCAAAACTGAAATTTAGGCTTTGTGTCTTCTCTTTGTTTAAGCATAAAATGTTGGCTGCAGCCCAGTCTTCAATTAAATTATTAGACCTGAGTAGTAACTGATCATTTAAGAGACCACTATTACTATTACAGCTGATTTGTATGGCCAGGTCGATGTAATTCACCAAGTAGATGTAATTTACTTGAAATAATCTTAAGTATTCATCATAAGTTTTGTTGTACTGCTCAGAAAGCATTTGTCTGGCAAAAGAAAACCCTTAGCCATGCTAGGACTCAAGATCAAGAATCCTGTAAGGATCACTTTTCCTATTTAAATTTGCTTGCCCTGCCATCTATGTACATTCTTTGTAATTTAATCTATATACAAAACAACCCCTTAGAATCTCCCAGCTATTCTCATCCATACAACACGAGGCACAAAAATAACCTAGTCACACCTCAAATCCGACTTTAAAAATATTTAAATAACCATTTTTAAATCCAACATATTTTCTTCCATAAGCTACCCGGCTTGTTTTTGTCATCTACCTTTAAACCAATTTAAAACTAAGAAAGAATTTTTAACTATTAAGGTATCATGTTTAGAATTTAAATAGGATATTGTATAACCATATTGAAATTTATAACTAACTAGCTGTACCCGCGGGCTTTGCCCCGTTTAACTTCATAAGTGAGCTCGATTGCATGGCTCAATCACGTCCTGGTAGAAGTTCGTTCGCTTTGCTCACTCACCTTTAGGTTGCCTTTGGGTTAGCTCGTTCGCTATGCTAACTCGCCTCCACGTTGAAGTTTGTTCGCTTCGCTCACTCACCTTTAGGTTGCCTTCAGGTTAGCTTGTTCGCTACGCTAACTCGCCTCCAGGTTGAAGTTCGTTCGCTACGCTCACTCACCTTTTGGTTGCAAATTAGCTGCTGTCATAAATTTAAAAAAAGTAATAGTGCTGCACCCTGTTTGTAATCCTTGTAACTTTAATGCTATTGAATATCATAGAACAGAACCAACTTGTTTAATTGAAACAGCTGTTAAGATTCATTAATTCCATTTAAATATGAGTACTCATAAGGTTAACATGGGAAACTCCAGAGCCACTGGGGCGGAGCCCTTTTGACAGATCTGCACCAAACTTCACACAAACCATCCTTGAATAATGCTTAATAATCCCTGAAAGTTTCATTACAATCTGTCAAGCGGTTTTGGAGTCCATAAAGGACAAACAAACAAACAAACAAGCAAACATACATACATTGGATTTTATATATATAAATGTATGATACTATTTTTAAGTACTATTTTAACAATGCCTATAACAAAATGTTATTATTAATGGCTGCCGTAAATCTTATTGAACCTGTTATCCTTTTAAGTGTATACAATATGTGTTTTAGGCTAAAGGAGATTCGACTGGACCTCCAAAGAGATCTGAACCAATCAAAGTTGAATCGCCTTCAGTCAAAGTAGAGGACAAAAAGAAGGATCAAGTTGCAAGAAAGTTAGATCTAAAGAAAGAAGAACACTTGGTTCCTCCTGGAACAGGTATATATCTATTTGAGCGTTTAGCATTGTTTAAAGATTAATAAGTGTAAAATCAATAATGATAATAATTAACAGTATTAATGTCAATGACCAAAAACATCATGATTGTGCAATGTTGTATTTTGACATAAAAATGTAAATCATGGTATTAACTCTAATTTAAATATTTCTCCTGGTCCCTTGCAGATTGTATTTTCAATGCTAAATAATTAATTGTGGTCAATTCAAATTATATTTTTGATGATTCAAATCTCCTATACAAAAAGACAAAAGTCAAACCAGGCAAGGAAAAAACCTGCTATTGTAATCCCCCTGCCCCTACCCAGCCATTTCGGAAGTGGTGAAAGTCTAGTCTGGTCTAAATATAGCTCCAAGGTCTCACCCTCCCCTTCCCCCCAACCCCCTACACCACTCACTGTTGCCGGTTGCCGGCTCATTTCGAGGTCATTGCACAACCCCTCCCTCCCTTCTATTGTTTTGCCTTTTGTAGTGTTTCTATTCTGTTTTTTAGCGAATTTCCCTATAGGGAAGTAGCTATTACCGTAGGTGGCACGGTAAGACCTAGACCCGGGACCGATTTACTTTTTCATTTTGATGTCCCCAGAGGCCAAAAACACCATTCGTTCAAATTTTTATATATGTATATATATAGACTTATATATATATACTAGCTGACCCGGCGAACTTTGTATCGCCTAAGTTATAGGTTTCCCCTAAGGCAGACCGATGGAAAGAAAGTACCGTTACGTTTAATTTTCAAGATGATCTCGTTCGCATCGCTCAATCACGTCGTGGTTGAAGTTCGTTCGCTACGCTCACTCACCTTTGGGTTGGAGCTCGTTCGCTACGCTCACTCACCTTTAGGTTGGAGCTCGTTCGCTGCGCTCACTTGCCTTCAGGTTAGTTCGTTCGCTACGCTCACTCACCTTTGAGTTGGAGCTCGTTCGCTACGCTCACTCACCTTTGGAGCTCGTTCGCTACGCTCACTCACCTTTAGGTTGGAGCTCGTTCGCTGCGCTCACTTGCCTTCAGGTTAGCTCGTTCGCTACGCTAACTCGCCTCCAGGATGAAGTTCGTTCGCTACGCTCACTCACCTTTTGGTTGCAAATTAGCTGTTGTCATAAATGCAAAAGAAATAATAGTGCTGCACCCTGTTGGTAATCCTTGTAACTTTAGTGCTATTGAACATCATAGAACAGAACCAACTTGTTTAATTGAAACAGCTGTTAAGATTCAATAATTCCGTTTCTCATAAGGTTAACATGGGAAACTCCAGAGCCACTGGGTCGGAGCCCTTTTAAGAATTTCGAAACGGGAAATAGTTTACGTCCGATTCGCATACCTACAGAATTTACACACCAAATTTCATAACGATCGGTGAAGTCGTTCCGGAGGAGTTTGCAGACAAACACTGTGACACGAGAATTTTATATATTAGATATATATATATATATATATACGTCCGTGAACGCGATAACTTGAGTAATTTTTGTCCGATTTTGATGAAATTTGGTTTAAAGGTGTAAAGCGGGATAAACTTGAATGAGTTCGCGAGCCAGCATGATCGGACCATGGGAACGGGGCTTTACGGGAGGTTTTATGGGGTAAAAATTGGTTTTTCTCACTTTTGACCCTCAAAACACAAAATTTCCCAATTTTTCTTTAGACCTTTTTAAAGAGCTTAAAAAAACAATTAATTTAGTATATAAAAGTATTTTTGTTCGGTTAATAGTAACGGAGAAAATTAAAAAAATTTTAAATTTAAAATTCCCATGTTATTCTTATGGAGAATGTTGTCAAATGTTGTAGTTTGCTTGTTTATGGATATATTTTTTATTTTGATCAAATTTATTTATTTTGTACTAAGCTATCAATATTTTACAAAAACACACACTTTATTAGTTTCCTTGTAGCAGCAAACCTAGGTACTCGTTAAACCTAATGTTATTAAAATATATTTAATTGAAAATCAATTAAGACAAATGGAAATTTGCTTAGTCGGCAGGTTTGCTGCGGCGGGGGTATTTTAAACATAGATTTATTGCTTGTAACAGTTCAGTAGTGGAATTTTCTATTGTGAAACAGTACTTTAAAACAAAATCACTACCGATCATGTCATTCTGTGTCAAGTACAGATTATGCCATTGCCAGTCAGTCGCCGGCGACTGCTTTGAGTTGACCTATTCTGTTGTGACAGCAAGACAACTACCTCTTGCTCATTTGTACACTGTAGAAATATTTGTATTACTGAAGAATCTATAGTAATACAAATTATAACGCATTTTATGTAAACACAAGTTACATTTTAACAAATATTGATTTTTTACAATTTTAAACCAAACTCGACTCAAAACTGCTGAGTTCAAAGATAACCCCGAGTTTCAAGGCCGTACTCGACTCGTACTCAAAATCTCGAGTACTCGCACATCTCTAAAACAAATCTGTAGAGGGATCTTTAAAGGCTTCTGGGGCAGAGCCCTACGCGAATTTACTTTGTTTTTCTTTTGATTACTCGTCTACAGACCAAGACCTTTCTTTGGACACCTCTATCAAGTTTCTACGCCCAGCCAATCTCTCAAATTAGTGGAGACAAAGTTTCCTGTTAAATATTTAGCTTCACCCATGTTAATCTTATGGGAGAAAACACAACTTTGATGGAAGATCCTGTCCAAACTAATAAAGATATCAAAAAACAAAAAACACTTTGCAAAACTACAGATCAGGGCCATTGTTTTGACATTTTAATCATCAAAATCGGTCCAAAAATGAGGGAGGAGTTCTGTTTACAAAAATCAGCTTAGCATATTATGTATATAGATTTGTATTGTTTTTAAAAATCCCAACGGATTGTTTCTATACCATTCAAATGTAGGTTGAATTAATTTTAAATGTGTTTAATATAGAAGGAGAGGAGAAGCAGCCAGAAGCACCTGGGACTGAAGGAGCAGAAGTAAAAAATGAAAAGGAGTCTGGAAGTGGACATCGTAGTAGAGAGACAACTCGCAAGACCAGTCCCAGGGCTGGGGAGAAGCGTCCTCGAAGTACGACGAGCAGCCACCGATCAGGCCGCGGCTCTCCTGTGCTGTCCTTTGACAAAATCAAGGTACTTGCCAACAGCAACCACCATGTCATTCCATCAAGACAACCTAATAATTAAAAATTATAATATAGCAACAATTATAGTCTGATTTTTAACTGAAAGCGGCTGGAGCTCGGCCCTATACCTGCGAGTGACCCGACACACACACGCACACACACCATCCACCCTAATTGCCTAAAAGCCCCGATCCCCCGCACTACCTAGAAATATAACATATGTTGTATGATACCTCAAAATTGCAAATCCTTTTAAGTTAGATATACAGTAAAATGCTTAGTGTTAGTAAATTTGTTGTTTAATTCCATGAAAGTAAGATAATAAGAAGTAAGAAAATAAGATAATGGGTCCAAATACAAAATTATTATAAAAAGAAATAGTATAAAAAAGTATTCGTAACTTCTACATTTTACAAGCAAAAAATATATTGTTTGGTATCATTTTACTTAACATTTTGAGCTGAAGTCAAAAGCATTAACCGATTTTATAACAAAGGTAAAATTAAAAAAATGTATAGTTAAATTTGTTTTAGCCAGTGATGACTCACACAGCAGGTCTCTGGTCCGTCCTAATCTTTTGCGTGTGTGTGTGTGAGGCCTGCGTTTGTGTGAGTAGGGTCGACCCTTCAGCCAGCCGCGTTCCCTGAACAATCATACTATACAGGGTGATTGATATAAGTGTGCCAGCCGTTTTATTCGAAAACTATAAGAGATATCAAAAAAAGTTAAATGGTAAGTCCCTTGGATTTTTTATTAAAAAAGTTATAGTCAAGTCAAAAAAATTATTTTAGCCGCCATTTTTCCAATATGGCCGCCAACTTTGATTTTTCTTATGGAACACCCTGTATTTTATTATGTATTCTGGTAGAAAAAGTAATTTTAAGACGATTTTATTCTTGTGATTTTTTTCATAAACCTAACCGTTTCAAAGATAATAATGGTTTCAGTTGTGAAATTTTTAATGGTTTTCGAACAAAACAGCTGGCATGCTTGCTTAGGCCTTTATCAAAACTCTTTCTCATGCAGAAATTTCAAAACTTTAACCATTATTATCTTTGAAACGGTTAGGTTCATGAAAAAAATTACAAGAATAAAATCATCTTAAAATTACTTTTTCTACCAGAATACATCATAAAATACAGGGTGTTCCATAAGAAAAATCAAAGTTTGGAAAAATGGCGGCTAAAATAATTTTTTTGACTTGACTATAATTTTTATAATAAAAAATCCAAAGGACTTACCATTTAACTTTATTTGATATCTCTTATAGTTTTCGAATAAAACGGCTGGCACACTTATATCAATCACCCTGTATATGACAATGATAATATGTGTAATTAATCACAATGATCAATTTATCGATTGACAATTATAGATTAACTTTAAACAGGCAAAGACTAATATACAGGGGAAGTTTTAAATGAGTTCCCCCCCTACTTTTTTCTACATTTCTTAAGATATCAACTCCGGACTATGTCAGATCATTGTAGAGTAGTAAGTACTTTATTTTGACTGGGTATACATTTTTGGCCACATCTTGATCCGCCATATTGGATACAAAGTTTTTTTTTCCAAATGTAAAGGTAGGGTTGTGTTCCATCGTTTTAAACTAGATTTTTATGCTGAATACGATGCTGCAATCCGTTTTTAAAAATCTTGATCCATTCTAAAGTTATGAGAACTTTTTATAACTTTATATGTAGCCCATTTTAACATTGTGCATTTAGAAACTAAGACCATAATCGCAAAATAGTGCTAGGTAAAGATAAATATACACCACCAGTCATTGTCAACCTATTTTAATTTGGTTATGACGGATGTATTTTTTTCGGCCGCCATCTTGGATCCGCCATTTTGAAATGAGATAAATTTTTTTTTAATATGAATGTGGTGTTGTGACCCATCATTTTGAATTACTTTTTTATGCTGAACTCAATGCCGCAATCCGTATTTTTGTATCAAGCTTTCTTGATGAAATATTACAATTATTTTATTTAAAATGTCAATGTTTCTAAAACAAAATATGAAAATGAAACCCCCATTTGAATAAGCTGGCGGCAAACAGCTGTTTTCTGGACTAAATCCTTGCGTGGGAAGTTCGTCAAAATAATGTAGTGTGGCGTAAAGTATTGTACGTTACTCGTCAGGTAAGCTTTACCGTACTCGCACCAAAAACTGTCGTGCTCGCACGGTAAAACACCACTTACCGGGCTAGTAACGTAATATACCATAGGTATAACACTAGACATAAGAACCTAATTAAGCCCACTAGCCATAGATTATCACTATTTGAAGCATCACCTCAATATATTGGACCGAAATTGTACAACTTAGTTCCTGATAGGGGTGTGCGATGCATCGAAAATGCATCGAAATTTTGATTCGATTCGATTCGATGCATCGAATCGCGATTCGATTCAGTGGTGGTCAAAAAACGATTCGATTCACGAGGGAGTCAGTATCCATATACGAAAAACGCCTGCAGAAAGTCAATGCAATACCCGCAATACAGGAGCGCGTTGCTGTTGCGTTTCCTTTACGAAGGCGTTCTTATTTAATACATTCTTTGCATTAAATATAGCTTTAATTGTTTTATATTTTTTTGTTTTGACATTTCAAATGATTAGAGGTTTTGTTTTTTGTTTTGATGTAAGCAGTGTGTGAAATATTTTACTACTGTGAACCTAGCCAAAACAAGGTAGGTTACTCCAAAATCATTTTAAAAATAAGTCTGAAAAATTGTTACTTAATACTTAACTAGTAAGATCAATGTTATAGACTGATACATTTGGTATTTTTGTTAGGTGTCTGTCGGTCCCCGTCCCCGAATTTTTGTTGGGGCAAAAGAAAAAAAAAGAATAATTTATTTCCAAAGAAACACTCTTATATTATTATATCTATTACAGAGGAATTAAAATGTTCAAATGAGAATTAAAAATTAAGTTGGCTCACGACCTTTAAGAATAAAGACACAACAGAGCAATTGCCGCACTGCCACTAGCCAGAGCCAGGTCTAGTCGTCTACTGATAAGAGTAACAAGACAAAAGCCGTGACGCAACACTAACAGTGCAAAGAAAACAAAGTCAAAAGAATAGAAAGACTATTTATCCAGACATACTAGTATAATAATTTATTGTTCATTCAATACCTAATTAAAAATATATTTTAGTATTTTACATAATAAATTATAAACAAAAGAAATATCTGATATAGTGAACAGATCTGTATCTTGGTTAAATAGGGTTAAAAAAATATATTTCTAAGATCCAATACAATATTTACAACTCACAAATTACATTGAATTAATTTCTTTGAAAATAATCTCTAACAGTTTTGTGTTTTTGAATAAAGAAATATATTTCTTTGTCTCTAATTCCTTGTTTCATCACTTGCATTTTGTCAGCAATTGAAGCAACTGGGTAGCAACCGGGTGGTGTAAGAGGGGAGGGGGAGGGTCTATGACCTTGAATTCACACATCGTTGCCCGGGCCTGGCTGGTGAGACTGATTCATTGTTTTTGTTGACATACTACTACCCTTCCTTAAGAGAAAAAGGCCCTGCTGTTCCCATCGATGTATAATAACTCCCTGGATTGCGCGCTCAGGTTGAAGTAGGGCTCGAAAAACGGTCCGTCGCTACCTCGCTCTGTCCGCGAGGAGTGGGGATAAAGGCATGACTCACCCTAGTGGCGAGCGTCGCGCCCGCTCTCGCCGTGTATTGCTATGTTAGTTTTGTGGAAATATTCCGAGGATAATTGATTGTAACGAACTTAGGGAGGTTTTATAAGCAGATATAATTAATCTACGTACTTGCTCACACTTCATAGACTATGTGTCAAAAGTAAATCTCATAAGAAATGTAGTGGTGATATAAAAGAGTTAGATTTATTTATATTTCAACATTAACCAGAGCAAAGTATATCACTATCACAATAATTATTTGATCACATATGCATGTCATCATTTGCTTCGGTGAGGTCCAATTATTATTGAAAGACTTTGCATCATTTAAGAATATACAGGGTGTCCCGTAACTCTCTGGACACTTGTATATAGCGTTATTCCTTAGGTCAAGACAAACATATTTCACCATAGGAACATGGGTCTGTGGTGTCTAGTTTACCGACTGTCGGTATTTATGTGTTTTTTACAAAAAAACTAATAACTCCTAAACGGTTTGAGATACAGCTTTGATATTTTGCAAAAATGTTAATCTTATTAAGACCTATTATCGTTAGAAATTATACTAAAAAATCATAAACCGTTTCAAAATGGCGGCCATTTAAAATATTTGATGCCAAATTTCACGAAAACCGTTAACTTTACAAAAAAATTGCAAGAGACAAAAAAGTTTTTAAATTTTATGTAGTTTTCAATGATACCTGATTTGTTAAGATTGGATAAATAATAACAGAGAAATGTCTTCTTTTCTAAATGTATGACCACTTTTCTCCATTTAAACAATGCTAATACTCCTTTTACGTTGTTTAGCATTGTTTAAATGGAGAAAAGTGGTCATGCGTTTAGAAAAGAAGACATTTCTCTGTTATTATTTATCCAATCTTAACAAATCAGGTATCATTGAAAACTAAATAAAATTTAAAAACTTTTTTGTCTCTTGCAATTTTTTTGTAAAGTTAACGGTTTTCGTGAAATTTGGCATCCAATATTTTATATGGCCGCCATTTTGAAACGGTTAATGAATTTTTAGTATAATTTCTAACGATAATAGGTCTTAATAAGATTAACATTTTTGCAAAATATCAAAGCTGTATCTCAAATCATTTAGGAGTTATTAGTTTTTTTGTAAAAAACACATAAATACCGACAGTCGGTAAACTAGACACCACAGACCCATGTTCCTATGGTGAAATGTGTTTGTCTTGACCTAAGGAATAACGCTATATACAAGTGTCCAGAGAGTTACGGGACACCCTGTATATTTTGTTTATATTATAGTATGTTTCTTTGTCATACTGTGATTAACGTGTTTGGAAAACATATTATGTTGCTAAATAAAATGAATGTATAATATTTAATGCCAATATCTCAAATGTATTCATTATTCTCACTGAAGTAAAATAATAACAAAATATTTTCTTAGGTATTAAATACTGCTGTGAAATCCAACATTTATTCTTTGATTCAAAGAATTTTGTTAACTATAGACTACCGGTAAGCATAAAAATGCATAAACATACTCCTGTAAATTTAGTTACCATTCTTTGTAATGTAATGCCATATTTGATGTAATATAATGATAATTAAATGCTAGAAACTCGGTTTCTATATCCCGTAAACTGATGCTGAGCCGGCCGAGCTCCTAGCGCCAATGCCGCGCCAAGCGATTTTATGCCTATTTTTAATGGCTTAAAAATGATACAAGCAGGCTCCGTATAAAAAAAAGCTTCAAATAAAAAATAAAATTCATACTTTGATCTAAAACTTTGCCGCAGGATTTTTTTTCCTGACCAAAAAATAAAAAAAGTTTCTCGCTTACTACATTTTTCATGTTTTTAATGGTGTTAAAAAACAATCATCTGTTTTAATTTGCCTAAATAAATTATAAAAAATATGTTAATGTAAAAACTAGCTACATAGTAATGAGCACTGGTTTTTCCAGAAAAATAATATATCAATTTGAAATTTTTATGTTAACAAATAAGTGTAGCAGAGCAGGTTGAGTGAATGTATGTTTGTGTAAAACAGAGGGGTTCATTCGGCCCGTCCGCCTCGGTATCCCACCAATTCGACTGGTGGGCACGGACCGTTTTTCCACCACCTAGCGCGCTATCCAGTAGAGTTATTATACATCGATGGCTGTTCCAAAAACATTGAGGGTAGTTTAAAAACATTGACCTGTGTTGCCAAGGGCACTAGAGCATTTAACTTTCTTGTCTCTTGATTTAATATTATTTTAATCTTCTATATATTATTTAAGAGTTACTTTTCGGGTACCTAATTAGTTGTGATATTGTTTAGCTTCATTTTATGGATTTTTAATTCTTTTCATTCATTAGCTATCAAAATCAGTTGTTTTAGGATTTTAATCTCTTGCAGTACCGGTAGGTCTATACTACTGTATGACATGATATGCATTTTTTAGTCCTTATTAATTATACCATAAACAATGTTTGTATGTTATTTACTGTTTTTGAGTTTTATAGGAAATTAGTTTACACAATATCTTTTCTTCAATGAGTTCTCTACTTGACATGTTGCTTCTAGCCTATTACTATTTTAGGCCCTATAAAAATAATGCCTATGTAAAGCTGTAGGCCTACTGATGCCAATAATAATTCTTTATTTATGATGATGTAACAAATAATGTAAGTGTGAGGTTATTATACTAAGGAGGTTAGGAGGCAGGGAATGAATGATACATGTTGCATGGTGGAAACATGTTATTTTTATTTTCTTCTTGCTTGCAGTCCTGAAGCCGGTCCACAGGCCCTAAACTTGTGATATGTAAATTTATTTCTTAATGGTCTTTTTATATTAAGTTCCATTCAAATTTGTTGTAATTTAGCTACCGGTACCTATTTAGTTATTTAAACAGTTATTAAAATGAGAATGAATGTCTTGATAAAAAAAATATTTTCTTCTTTCTTGCAGTTGAGCCAATTCCAAGTAAAAATTATGAAATAGGCAAGTAAAGCAGCTCACTGGTATTTCCAGCAGTTATTCTAATACATATGATTGAAAATAAATATTTTTTCACCTAAAATTCATATGTAAGTATGAATAGGCCTAATACCACATCAACAAAAATTTGTATTACACAAATGTGATAAATTTTAATTATTGTTAATCCACTCAATTGACAATTATGAATAGAAAAATACCGTATTGCTTCGAATCGAGTTGCATCGAATCGAATCGAAAATCTTTTGAATTGAATCGTTGCTTCGAATCGAAAATTTTTTGCTGCTTCGCACACCCCTAGTTCCTGATAATTTAAAACATCACCAATCCAAATAAATTTAAAAAAGAATGTAAAAACTGGTTGCTAACCAAAACATTTTATTCCTTAAATGAATTTTTAAGTGGAAATTGGTAGGATTTTAAGTATTAAAATTATTTTGTTTTAATTTGAATATTATTACTTAGCTTTAAGTATTGTAATGTAATTGACAAATGTCCTGTCATTTTGTGATGTAATGGCATTCTGTAAATAAATAAATAAATAAATAAATATACTATTAAAGGTAGCAATACACCGTAATTAACAGTTTTAAAGATATAAATCTACACCGTAATTAACAGTTTTAAAGATATAAATCTAATAAAATTAATTTTTAGGAGGAAAGAGAAAGACTGCGCCTTAAAGAGAAGGAAAGAATGCTTCGTGAGGAAGAAAGAAGAAGGGAAACTGAGAGACAGAGACAACGAGAAATAGATAGAGCTCAGAGAGAGGAGTTTGAAAGATTGGACAGGTAAAATTAAACACGACTCTAATGTCTGAGGTAATACTTTATTTTGTTCTGGTTGTCAGGATAGGACAAGTCCTGGAATCTCAAGAAAAATGTATTTTGATCATCAGGGATGGTATAGAATTTGATTCTGCATTTTCTCGGGACGGGATTTATTGCCATCTTCAGCGATTTTGCGAGTGACGATGCCAATGTGTCCGTGTTCGCGGGAGATGTCGCCGTTATGGCGGATGATGATGATGTTGTTGTCTCTGTGATTGCAAGAGATGTCCAAATGGTTATGCGAACCCAGTAGATGATGATGTCTCTATAATTGTGGGAAAGGTCATGATCACAGGAGATGTTCACGATGGTGCCGCAATCACAGGTTATAGTCATGATGACACTGTGAGGTACACATATTACAAAATTATAAATTACTAAAGCTTGTACTGCTTTTCTACAGGTAACCTTATTGAGCCAGAAAACCCTACTTCATTTTTTTTTTTATGTAGTAATAGTCCTGTTATACCTGCTTGTGATTAGCTAGCGGTGTTTTATAACTAGATTGATGTAGTTAATTGCACCAAAAAATGAATCGCTCTTAGTTTACAGTTTTTTATTCCTTGTGTATATATTATGGTGTTTTTAGAACCGTGCAAATTTTGCTATCCACATGAATAATAAACTTAAAGCAACTATAGATAGATTTAGTTGACGCCATTCAATGTACAAAACTGTACTTTATGAATAAAGCATATTTGATTTAATTAATTTTAAACAGTATGATTTAAATTGGCATTCTGTTAATTTACGTTTTTTTTAACCCGCCCTTATGACAGTGTGTATCTGGATCCGGATCCGAATTTTTCAAGATCCGGATCCGGTACCGACATTTTGTTAGATCCGTCCATCACTACTAAATAGTTATCAACCGTATTATTACTGCAAACCTTAACATTTGAATTACATGTTAGGGAAAGAAAGAAGTTGAAAATGGAAAAGGAGAGGCTCCTGCGAGAGAAAGATGAACTAATGAAACTGAAAATTGAGCGACAGCGGTTGCAAACAGAAAGGCAGAAGCTGGAGAGAGAAAGGCTTGAAAAAGAAAAGGAAGAGTTGGAGAGACTTAAACGGCAAAATCTAAGGTTTGTATTGCATCATGTCAAAATGAGTAAAAAATTATGGTAATTTATTTATTAGGGTATAATTTTTGATACACAGTGTATTAAAGGCATTTAAACACCAAGAAGCTAGTAAAAATACCAGGGCTGTACGAATAGTTTTAAAACTAATCAAATCCGTATCTGTTTGGAGATACGATTTAATTTTGAGAACGAATCTACTGTTTCTAACTGGATTTGGATTTGGAATCGATATTTGAATTTACCGGAAAGAGATCCGGGTTCGGATTCGATATTCAAATTTCCTGGAAATAGATCCGAGCCTGAATTTGATATTCGAATTTACCACATTTGGATTCAATATAATTTTCAGCTCAATATTCAATATAACTGTCAGCTGATAGAGTGGTGCAAACATCGACCGCAATTGCTCCACCATATTCTAGCAGAAGACAGAAGGCAAGCTTAATACAGACCGGATCAACTAGATGGTTTATTTGGACTCAACAATATTATTACACTACAGTAGACTCCCTCTTATCCGGACTCCTCGGGACCGAGGCCAGTCCGGATAACGGGTTTTCCAGTTAAACCGACGTCCCCAAAACTCGTTAAAACGGACTGCTTACTGTGATATTTGACTTAAATTTAGGAGAGCATTGTATTTAGACACATGATCACTGGTCTCAAATATTTCCCACGAGAACAGTGATTTCAGTACTGCCCACTTCCTGCCGATCTAGTCCGGTTAAACCAATGTGCTGATAAAAATTGTCTGGTTAAAGAGATGTCATTTCCGCCGAGTGTAGTCCGGTTAAACCGATGTCCGGTTAAAAGGTGTCCGGATAAGAGGGAGTCTACTGTACCTTAATAATACCATCCTTTCCTTGTCTGAGGTTGATTGATAATAACATTAATAATAGTTACAAGTTACAGGATTATTTTATTTAATTCATGCAGTTCTTTATTTTACTTTGATTTCCACAAACTGTGGAAATACTTTTAAGCAACATAAATAGCGCTGAATGTACTACTCCAACCTCAAACTTATTCCAGTTCACTGTAACTGTTTGACTCAGTCCAGTCCAGTCAGTGGCTGAATTCATATTTTTAAGCCCAATGGTTAAATTTTGCGTTATTCATGATTTCGACGAATCATATTGTATTCAATCTCTATATGAATTTGAACGGATGGTGTTTTTGGCCTGTGGGGACCTCAAAACTAAAAATTAAATCGGTCCCGGGTCTATGTCTTACCATGAGACCCACGGTAATATCTTATTCCCTATTTTAACTTTTAGGGGCTTTTATGGGGTAAAAATGGGTTTTTCCTATTTGTGACCCAGAAAACATAAAATTTTGAAATTTCTTTCCAAACTATTTTGTAGAGCGTAAAAAAACAAATAATTTAGTATATTGAAGCGTTATAATGCGCCTAATGGTTACGGAGAAAATTCCAAAAAATTGTTAATTTAAAATTCCCATGTTATTCTTATGGAGAATAAGTAAACCGTTGTAGTGTGCTTGTTTATTAACATATTTTGCCCAAATTTGGAAAATGTTTTTATTTCTTACTAACTATTAACATTTTACATAAAAAAAAAACACTTTTACCCTCCCGGTTGCAGTAAACCTAAGTATGTGTTAAACTGATTCTATTTAAATAGGGAATAAATGTGATATTTTTAAGGAGACATTTTAGTCTAAATCCAATCAGGCAAATGGAAATTCGCTTAGTCTGCAGGTTTGCTGCGGCGGGGGTATATGGAATATATTAGCGAATTTCCCATATAGGGAATATTAGCAAATTTCCCATATAGGGATTAATTAGCGAATTTCCCATATAGGGAATAAGCTATTACCGTACTCACGGTAAGACCTGGACCCGAGACCAATTTTATTTTTCATTTTGAGGTCCCTAGAGGCCAAAAACACCGTCCGTTCAAATTCATATATATATGTGTCCGTTAGCACGATAACTCGAGCAAAAATTATCCGATTTTGATGAAATTTGGTACAAACTTGTAAACTTACGTTTATTCGAACGAGTTCGCGATCCAGCATAATCGGACCATGGGAACGGGGGATTATGGGGGGTTTTATGGGGTAAAAATGGGTTTTTCCCATTTTTAAACCTAAAAACAAAAAATTTTGCGTTTCTTTCTAAAATGTTTTGTAGAGCTTAAAAAAAGAAATAATTTAGTATATTGAAGCGCTGTTGTATGCCTAATGGTCACGGAGAAAATTCAAAAATAGTGTAATTAAAAATTCCCATGTTATACTTATGGAGAAAATGAAAATTGTTGTAGTTTACTTGTTTATGAGTATATATTGATAAAATTTGGCAAATTTATTTATTTCATCCTATACTATTGATGTATGGTCAAAAAACACTTTTTACCTTCCCCGTAGCAGCAAACCTAAGCACTTGTTAAATCTAATGTTATTTAAATAGGGAATAATATGTCTTATTTATGGAAACATTTTAGTAAAAATGTAATCAGACAAGTTGAAATTCGCTTAGTCTGCAGGTTTGCTGCGGCGGGGGTATTTTTTACTGCCGCTTTAAAAAGGTGTTGCCGATAACATGGGAACTTTCAAGGGCAGTAGGACAGAAACAGGATTTTTTCCTAGCATTGTGACCAACTCCAATCGATTTCTCAATGGCCATGTGGCTACATAGTTTTGCCATTAATTGTGAATCTGCTATTTACTGTCTCAACTGTACTTTGAATGTACAAAATTATCATATGATCAGCTGGCTGTTTGTAAATATTTTTTATTTCAATTTATTGTAGTTTTTTCTTAATACAAAAGTGTTTCATGATTTAATCTTTTCTTTTAATTAGGCCTACCTTATTTTGTGTTAGTATATTTATATAAGGCACAAGCCTTATTTGGTGACCCCTTATTATACTTTTTACTGTCGTTAATGCAATTAGACCATAATGAATGATCAAGAATCTTCTCCAACTCCTAGTATACCAGAGGCTTCACAAATCTCACCAATTCAAGTGAAAATTCCACCATTTTGGACCAAAAATGTTTCACTTTGGTTTCATCAAATTGAATGTCAGTTTTCTCTTCATGGAATTTCAAAGGAAAGAACTAAATACAATTATGTAATGAGCTCACTGGACAATGAAGTTGCAAGTCACCTTTCAGATTTTATTACCAAACCTTTGTCTCAAACTCCATACTCTGACTTAAAGGAAAGACTCCGCTCAGAATATGAAATTTCAGAAAATGCCAAACTTAAACAACTGACATCAGAAGTTTTTCTCGGAGATAAGAAGCCGACAACTCTTCTTCGTGAAATGAGAACCTTAGCAGGCACACAGGTAACTGACAGTTTTTTGAAAGTTATTTTTCTACAACGTCTACCTAGTCACATTCGTACTGCCCTAGCTGCTTCTCAAACCAATTCTCTTGACGACTTAGCTAAATTAGGTGACCAAATAGCTGAACTATCAGCTGTCGACAACTACATTTGTGCTCAAGGAGATGTCGCGCAATCTAGTGATCGGATTGCCAATTTAGAAAAACAAGTCAGCGAACTAACTCAGTCTATTGATGGACTTCTTAAGATAAGTAAACAAAACTTTCCAGCCAAATATAAGAACAAATACTATCCTGAAGAGAGAAATGATCAAGGTGAAATTTGCTGGTACCATAACAAATTTGGTGAAAATGCTAAAAAATGTATTCAACCTTGTTTGTTCACACCAAAGAAGAATGCACAACAGGAAAACTTCCTGCCCCGTCACTAAATGCGGCTCAGGATGACAGGGGCTTTCAATCTCGCCGCTTATTTGTAACTAACTTACCCTGTGGTCGTAAGTTTCTCGTGGATTCTGGAGCAGACATATCTGTTTTGCCTCTCACAAACAAAGACAAATGTGCTGTAGGCCTAAGTAATAGACAATTATATGCTGCCAATGGTTCTGTTATCAAAACGTACGGTAAACAAGACATAAAACTTGATCTAGGCTTGAAAAGAAAGTTTGCCTGGTCTTTCATAGTTGCAGACGTAACCCAACCCATAATTGGAGCAGACTTTTTATCACATTATGGTTTACTTGTTGATATCAAAAATAAAAGACTAATCGATAACAGGACTCAATTATCTGTAATGGGAATTCAAAAACTTTCAAATCAACAATCTGTATTGGTGCTTGACCCAAAAGGTAAATACTCAAAACTTATCAACCAATATCCTAATTTACTGAAAGAAAATCCTAATTTTCAAGTTTCCCAGGACACAGTTTTTCACTCAATTCAGACAACAGGTCAGCCTGTGAACTTTAGAGCTAGACGTTTACCTCCAGAAAAACTTGCGGTAGCTAAAAAGGAGTTTCACAAGATGGTTGAGCTAGGCATTTGCAGGCCTTCAAAGAGCTGTTGGTCCAGTCCACTTCATTTAGTTCCTAAAACTGATGGTACATGGAGACCTTGCGGGGATTACCATGCCCTAAATGCAAAAACAGTTCCTGATAGATATCCTATACCTTATTTGCATGATTTTAACAGCCACTTAAATGGAAAAACTATATTTTCCAAAATTGATCTTGTTCGGGCTTTTCATCACATTCCAGTAGCTCCTGATGACATTCCAAAAACTGCTGTCATAACGCCTTTTGGATTATTTGAATTTTTGAAAATGCCATTTGGATTAAGGAATGCTGCACAAACTTTCCAGAGATATATAAATTCTCTTTTGCATGATCTAGAGTTTACCTTTTGTTACTTAGATGATATCCTGGTAGCATCCTCCTCAGAAGATGAACATATTAATCACTTGCAAACCGTTTTTGATAGACTTAATAAGCATCATATTAATATTAATACGTCAAAGAGCGTATTTGGCGTGACTGAGATCTCTTTTCTTGGTTACACAGTTTCTAAACAAGGAATTTCTCCTCTTCCTGATAAAGTTGAAGCTATTGTTAGTTGCAAACTTCCTGAAACCATTCTTGAGCTTCGTAGATTCCTTGGACTTATAAACTTTTACAGAAATTCACTTCCTAATGCAGCTGCTATTCAGCAACAACTATTTGATTTGTGTAAGGGTACACATAAATCTGATAAACGAAAAATAAGTTGGACTTCAGAATCTAAGAAAGCTTTTGATGATGCAAAGGGTCAGCTAGTCAATGCCACACTTCTAGCACACCCATCTCCTGATGCTCCTTTGGCTCTCATGGTCGATGCATCGAACTTCGCTATAGGTTCGTCTCTCCACCAGATTTGTAATGGGAACTTCGAACCTCTTGGATTTTTCTCTAAATCCCTTACAACAACTCAGAAAAAATACAGTACCTATGACAGGGAACTCCTGGCTACATACCTATCTGTGAAGCACTTCCGTTATCTCCTTGAAGGGCGAAGTTTTGTTATATATACCGACCACAAACCTCTATCTTTTGCCTTCAATAAACCCTCTGATACATCTAGTCCAAGGCAATTGCGTCATCTAGACTTCATTGGACAGTTCACTACCGATATAAGGTATCTACCAGGAAAACAAAACATTCCTGCTGATTTCATGTCGAGAATAAGTGCTATTGACCTACCTTCATCAGTATCCTTTGAACAAATTTCTGAAACTCAATCTCAAGATGCTGAACTTAAAAATCTGAAATACTCAAACACAACTTCATTGATATTCAAAAATATTTTACTTCCTAATGGCTCAGAGCTGTGTTGTGACACAAGTACTGGAAGACTACGACCATTTATTCCTCAGCAGTTCAGAAAACAGTTATTTGACTCCCTTCACAACCTTGCACATCCTGGAATCAAAGGGTCTCTGGACCTTATTAAACAACGTTTTGTTTGGCCATCCATGAATAAAGATGTCAGACTTTGGGCCAAAGCATGTCTAGCTTGCCAGAAATCAAAGGTTTGGAAACATACTACTACTGAGATTGGAGCTTACAACGACATTAATGGACGGTTTTCTCACATTAATGTGGATATAGTTGGACCCTTGCCACCTTCTCAAGGATTTACATACTTACTAACTATCATAGACCGCTTTACACGATGGGTCGAGGCAACACCCATCAAGGATATTACTGCTGAAACAGTTGCAGAAGCACTTCTTTCTACCTGGATTGCTAGATTTGGAGTTCCTCAAAACATTACTACAGATAGAGGAAGACAATTCGACTGCAATTTATTCCAGGAATTAACAAAACATCTCGGTATCCATCACATTAAAACTACAGCGTATCACCCTGAAGCTAATGGAAAGGTCGAGAGATGGCACCGACATCTGAAATCTGCATTAACAGCTCAACTCACATCTAACTGGACACAGACGTTACCAATGGTTCTACTGGGACTAAGATCTTATATTATTCCAGAACACAATGTTACTGCTGCAGAAATGACACTAGGTCAGTCCATCAGACTACCATGCGATCTTTTTCAAACCACAGAAGATACCTCAACAAATATTCCTGATTTAGTGTACAATCTGAAAAGAAAAATGAATGATCTCAAACCAATAGAAGCCAAATACCATTCTTCTAAGAAGGTCTTTGTTCATCCAGAATTAAGAACATCCAACCATGTTTTTGTTCGACATGATTCATCCCGAAGACCGTTGCAACCTGTCTATGATGGCCCTTATCAAGTGGTCTCGCGGTCTGACAAGTGGTTTACTGTTCTTACTCCACGAGGACCTACGTCGATTTCTATAAACCGACTCAAACCGGCATTCCTCCTTCAAGATTCTATAAACGATACGATCATTAACCCAAGAAAAAATGACACACAATCTAGAGAAACTCAAGTAGACAAGACCAAGGACAGACATGAAGATGTTGACCTTCAAAAAACATTGATTTTTACAAGATCAGGTCGTAGTGTTCATCCCCCGCATCGTTACGTTCCTCGTTGACACTGGGAGGGGAGTATGTGGCTACATAGTTTTGCCATTAATTGTGAATCTGCTATTTACTGTCTCAACTGTACTTTGAATGTACAAAATTATCATATGATCAGCTGGCTGTTTGTAAATATTTTTTATTTCAATTTATTGTAGTTTTTTCTTAATACAAAAGTGTTTCATGATTTAATCTTTTCTTTTAATTAGGCCTACCTTATTTTGTGTTAGTATATTTATATAAGGCACAAGCCTTAGCCAAATACCGGGATTCAACAAAAATAAATAAAAAATCTTTGGACGAAAATAAAAGTTGCCCGTACACACGCTTGTTTTGTATAGGATTTAATATATTTTCAGTAATATTGTTCAAAAAATTAACCTATATCATAATATAATAGTTGAAATGCTATTTAGATTTTATTTTTGCCATGGTTGTGAGCAGGCTAGAGGAGGAAGTGAGACGCAAGCGGTCTTTGAGCAGCTCCAGAGATCGTGAATATGAGAGCAAGAGACATCGAGCCACTGACACTCGTTACGTCACCTCGTCCTCTCGCTACCCTGACTCTCCGAGGTAACCTGAGCAATCAATCAATTAATGGAAATCTTTCCCAAATGACAAATTCAACACTATCATTTTGGTTTAACTGTTACCTTTAGAAACTGTTCATTAAGATATGTTGCTCATGAGCTTCGTAGGTAACAGTGGTGGGTCAAAGATGTCACGCTAATCAAGATATGAGAAGTTCTATGGCATTCTGTTGTAGACAATTCAAATTCAAATATATTTATTTATGATAATACAACATCTTGGCCTCGACAAGTTTACAAATCTTGTTGGCGAGGTCCAATTGACACACAAAAATTAATAAACAAAATTTAAATTTTTTTTATTTTTACAAAAAAATGTTTCTAGCAACCATGGCGGTTTGTAACAGGCACCTGTCTATACAGAATAATTGGCAGCAGAAATACAAAATTCTAATTATAGTTTGAAAAATTGCTGTATTATCTAACTGACTTAAAATCTATGCATTATATTCCGTTGTCTTTGCTTTCCAATAACATTAGATAGACCAGTAATATACCATATTCATGAAATCTTCAAATTAATTGTTTTTTCAAGCGTAAACAGTTTCTAAACTTAAATAAAGCTGAAAATTACAAAAGCGTGTAGATGTTCAGTGTGAAACATTAACTGATGGACCGATCTGTACAGAACAGGGTTGGAGTGGTGGGTCCACTGGTAAATGGCTAAAAGTTTTGGGCAATGGAGTAGGGGATGGGAAGGCATCATGTGGTATGCAGAATTGTGCCGTATAGCGACACTGCATAGTTTTTCAACACCGGGTTTTTTTTTGGCGCTTTGATCTTGTTAACCCCAGTAACTAATCATTGGTGGTTGAAATTATTTGAATTATTTAAATTATACTCGAACTATCCGTGATATTTTGATATTGATTATACATGGTAATCCTAGGAACGAAGAGAAGGATCTGAATTCAAGTATTTTTTGAGTACAGAATTTAAAAACATTCCACTGTACTTAATTGTGCATCAGTACTAAATCCTCCCATGTCTTCTTCAACCTTTCACACAGTTTCATACAGTTTTTTTTGTTTCCTCCCAGAACTAACGATTACAAGAAAGAGGTGACAGTGCACAAGAGCTCCAGAGAAGTAGCTGCGCCCCCTCGCAGACCCGGGTTTGAGCCAGACTCTACCAGACGGCTTGTCACATCATCTAGGGATGGGTGAGACTCAAGTCAAATATGTTGAAAATCTAAATAATACTCTGCTTCTTAAAAGTTTAATATAGTAGGTTTTTTCAGGAGTCTGTAGAATTTTTTTCACATAATTTTCTATATAGCGAATAAAATATTACCTTTGGTTTCATGGTAAGCCCTAAACCCAAGAAGGATTTACTTTTTAGTTTTTATATTACAACCCAGCTAATCCGGCACCTACGGGATCGGGGACCTTGGATGGAATAGTAAAAAGGTCAGATTAACCAAGGAGCAGCATGTTCAGGATTTTTCCGTGATCACAGGAGACGATTATGGTGGTTTTTTTATTGCTGGCGATACAGTAGGCCCCCTCTTAACCGACCTTGTATCAACCGATAATCAGATTATCCTACTTCAATCATAAAATATTATAGTTTGTTTTAACCAACCTTGCTTTGAGAGCAGTTCGGTTTAACCGCCGCATTCTAGGAATCTCGGCATTTCCGCTCACACGCTGGGCGATGAGAACCGAACCATACACTTATCTCCACAGGATGTGACTAAGAATAAGTTACTGTATTTTGTATTGATCACAAAAAATATAGCTTGTTGTCAGTTTGTCATCATTATCTGTAGTGCGAGCACATCTGATCTGATTTGTTATCTGTGCGGCAAATTTATAAAACCGTAAAGTGCATTACAATTTCGAGAACTGATTACAGTATCTTATCGCTATAAACAAACAACGCAACTTGCAGGGTGGGCAAGGGAAGGGAGGTTAATAACTCCAAGGTCAAGATAGTTTTTGTGCATTAAGCATGTAAACACTGTACTGTAAAGTATTGTAGCCTATGCTACTTTAATTGTGTTTTAATGATGTCTAATCCCGACCTATATTGACCGACGCTGGTTCTGAACCTCGACTTAGCGAAATTCCTGCAAACATAACCTCTATATAACGAACCTCGTTTTAACGAAATCCTTGATATAACGAATATTTAGTTCGGTCCCTTCAGATTCGTTATACTGAGGTTGGACTGTATTTTTAATTTGTAATACCTTACTATACACATAAATAACAAAAAAAAAAAAACAACATAGTTAACAGATTAAAAGTTTAAAATATTAAATAATGTTGTTTTATCATAGTTTGCTAATCTGCCCAAATTTAATTACGATCTGAGTAAGTTTGCTATTAAAATTAAACCGACCACAAAGGGTTAAAACTCTATGAAAATAAAGCATCAGCTGACAACATTGTCATGATGACGCAATCACTTATTACCAGCGTTTGTTGTTGTTTATTTTGTGTTTTGTTTGGTTAGTTTCGGTGTTTTGTCGTTAAAAGTTTGATTTTTTATTGAAATGTGAGTTGATATTACTTCAAGATGTCTGATCGTAACTACTATGACCGATCTAGTGAGTTCCAATTCTAAGTAACGAGGAGACATGCAATTTAAGTACTAGGCCTAGTGTAGGTTGTACACCTAATACATATATGGTAATAAATACTCCCGCCGCAGCAAACCTGCAGACTTAGCGAATTTCCATTTGCCTGATTGGATTTTTACACTAAAATGTCTCCTTTAAAATATCACATTTATTCCCTATTTAAATAGAATTAATTTAACGAGTACTTAGGTTTGCTGCAACAGGGAGGGTAAGAAAGTGTTTTTTTAATGTAAAATCTTAATAGGTACTGTATTAGTAAGATATGAATTTATTTTCAAAATTTTATCAAAATATGTTCATAAACAAGCAAACTACAACAGTTGACTTATTCTCCATAAGAATAACATGGGAATTTTAAAATTACAATTTTTTTTGAATTTTCTCTGTAACCATTAGGCGATAATAACGCTTCAATGTACTAAATTATTTGTTTTTTTAAGCTCTACAATATGGTTTAGAACGAAATTGTGAAATTCCTTGTTTTTAGGATCAAAAATGGGAAAACCTATTTTTACCCCATAAACCCCCGTTCCCATAGCCCGATCATGCTGGTTCGGGAACTCAATAAAGTTTATCCCGCTTTACACCTTTAAACCAAACTTCATCAAAATCGGACAAAAATTACTCAAGTTATCGTGTTAACGGACACATCTATATATCTATATGTATAAAAGAGGAACTATGCATTTATATACAGGGTGTTTTTTTTTTAAACTTGCATCTTTATTTATGTAAAAACCGCAATAGATAGAAATATGCAGTTTGCGGGAATCATCTATTGACGTAGGGGGCCCAATTGTTTTGAAATCAAAATTACATTCCCTTTCCCCCCCTGCCCCCAACTTATTTTTTTTTTGTTTTGAATAGGAAGGTACCCCTTGTGACATATCAAATGAAAGAGCACAAAAAAAGAAAATGTTTGGTGAAATTTATTTTTGATTTGATATGTCACAAGGGCGGGTACCTTGCTATTAAAAAACAAGTTATGGGTAGGGGAAAAGGGGGGGGGATTATCTCACAAATTCATGAGCCGATTTTCAATTTTTTTTCACCAAAAATTTTCTTTTTTCATGCTCTTTCATTTGATATGTCACGAAGGGTACCTTGCTTTAAAAAAATAAATTAAGTTCCGTGGGGGGGAGGGGGAGAATATCTCACAAATTTATTAGCCGATTTTCAATTTTTTTTCATCAAACATTTTCTTTTTTCATGCTCTTTTATTTGATATGTCACAAGGGGAACCTTGCTATTTAAAAAAATTAAGTTGGTGGCAGGGGGGGAAAAGGGGGGAATGTGAATGTAACGTTGAATTAAAAAAAATTGTGCCCCCTACGTCAATAGATGATTCCCGCCAACTGCATATTTCTATCTATTGCGGTTTTTACATAAATAAAGATGCAAGTTAAAAAAAAAACACCCTGTATATATATATGTGTGTGTATATACGTTATGGACTCCGGAACCCCTCGACAGATTGTAATGAAACTTTCAGGCAGTATTAAGCATCTTTCAAGGATGGTTCGAGTGAAGTTTGGTGCGGATCTGTCAAAAGGGCTCTGTCCCAGAGGGTTTAAAGTGGGCCAATGTCAGACTTTTTGATCTACAATGTTTACAAATAAATATAATTTAAAAGCAGATGTTTACTTTCACCAACTGTTTTGTAGGTTTGAATAATCACAACATTCTGTGTTAGCATTAGTCATGATTTGAAATAGTGCCACAGTGTTTCTACAGAGTGCAGCACAGAATACTATTTTACTTTTGAATAAGTCCAATAATAATAATAATAATAATCTTTATTGTCATTCAGCAACATAAAATTACAATAGACAACGTCAGAAATCAGGACACAAATATGACATCATGCTTAAATCTATATCACCTTAAGAAGCATTGAACATTTTGTTGCATAAACTGTACATACAGGCCTAATATTTAAATTTAAAATTCTAAGATTGAATGCTCTAACACAAATTTATAAAAAACTTAAGTAAATAATGCTTCAAAACTAAACAATTTGTAAATATTCAGAAAATTTGTAAAAAGATTTTTGGTCATTCAGGCTGCCTCCTAGTGGCCAATAGTGTTAAGAGGTCAGAGTAATTATTTGTGTTTAAAAAATCGTCTATAGAAAAAAAGGCTTTGCTAATTAGCCATCTTGATAATGTTGATTTGAAAAGGTTTATGTTATCAATTTCTCTAAATGGAATGGGAAGTTTATTGAAAAGTTGTAATTGTAAATATTTATGGCTTTTTGTGAATTTTGAAAGTCTAACTGGTGGGATGTACAGGTTGTTTGATTGTCTAGTTGAGTGGTTATGTATTGAGTGACATTTAGTAAAATTTGTAATGTTTTGTTTAACATAGACTAAATTATTAAAAATATAAATACTTGGAATTGTCATTATATTATTATTTATAAAGAAAGGTTTGCAGTTGACTTTATTTGGTATATCAAACATGATCCTCAGGGCTTTTCTTTGCCAAGTAAACACCCTGCTGGCCCCACAGCTATTTCCCCAGAGAATATTTCCATATAATAAGTGTGTATGAAATAAACTATGGTAAACAGAAAGAAGTGTGTGATTAGATACACAGTTTTTTAGTTTTCACAATAAAAAACAAACTTGTGACAACTTAGATATTACATTGTTGGTATGTTCTTCCCAAATTAATTTTTTATCTAAGAAAATACCTAGCAATTTAACAAAATCTGGATTTTCAATTTGGTTTCTACGTAGTGTAAAACATATTTTCTCTGTCTTATCACTATTAATTTCAAGAAAATTACTCTTAAACCAATTATTACCAATATCGATCATATTATCAATTCCACGGATTGCTGTGTTAAGATTGTCAGAAGGCCAAATAAACGATGTGTCGTCTGCATATAGAACTGTTTTACAAGGCATAGCATTTGGCAAATCATTAATATATAATATAAACAATACTGGCCCAAGTACTGACCCCTGTGGCACCCCAGCAAGAACCTCTTTAAAAGCCGATGTTTGTTTACCGGAAGCTACATATTGTTGTCTGCCACAAAGGTAGGTTTAAAAAAAAAATTTAGTTCCTGGTGTTTTATACCATAAAAATCCAATTTCTGCAAAAGTATGGTGTGCAGAACTGAGTCAAAGGCCCTGCTGAGATCCACAAGGGCCAGACTCAGATAGTTGCCAGATTCAAATGTATCCAGAATATCTGACACTATGGATTCAACGGCTAAAGTTGTGGAGTATCCGGGTCGAAAGCCAAATTGATTGCTATTCAGAATTTTGTTATTTGATAAAAAATCAAAAAGCTGTATTTTAACACAATTTTCAATTGTTTTTGAAAAAACTGGAACCATTGAAATGGGACGATAATTGGAAACAGAAGATATATCTCCTTTCTTGAAAATTGGCACTGTTTTGCATATTTTCAGACAACTTGGAAATGTGGAATTTAATAAGGCAATATTAACTAAGTAAGTTAAGGGTTCTAGAAAGTATGGAGCTATATATTTGACAATTTTGTTAGAAAAGCCATAAAAATCTTCAGAGTTAGAGGAACTAAGTGATCTTATAACTTTTAAAATTTCAATTGATGTTACCGGCTTCCAGGAAAAATTGGTATTAGAAACATTTTCCTTATCTAAAAAGTTGTAAAAATTTAACCCACTTCCCCCTCCATTAGAGAACTTGTCTAAAATTTGTTTTCCTACATCAATGTAATAGTCATTAAATTCGTCAGCTGTAATTGGTGGATCCGACTTTTCACTTTTAAAAAATAAACCACTTTCTGACTTAACAACTTTCCATGCAGCCTTACATTTGTTTTGTGAACTATTAATAAATTCCTCATTATATTCTATCTTAGCGGTTTTAATTCTAGTTTTATATTTGTTTTTGTAAGATGATAGACAATTTTTTAGGATGTCATTGTTTTGATAAGCTGGTATTTTAGTCAAATCCTTGAGGAGTAACAGAGTATCCTTCATTTTCTTAAGTGACTCATCAAACCACAGGTTATTTTTTGAACTAACTTTGTTGTAGTCCCTTCTTACTCTCTTAGATAGTCTAGGACAGTGATAGTTGTAACAATTCTGAATACAGTCAATGAAACATTTAAAAGCAACATTAACATCAGCAATCTGTAAAACCGGCTCCCAATTGATGACACTTAAACTATACAAAAACATATTAATCCTTTCTTTTGTTAACAATCTAAAAGAAACTTCTTTGACTATATCAGGCACATATAAACTACTTGAAAATGCAAAATGTAAAATAGGGTGATCAGATATTTGTTCTTTCAAAACTTTACACTGAAATAAGTTTGGCTCAATGTTAGTTGCAATATTGTCAATACATTTGTTCCCTTTGGTTGGGTATTTAAAGATGTAATATAAATTGAACGATTTGTAAAGAAAAAAAGAAATTCGTTACTTAGTTACTTGATTTCATCTCTTCAAATAAAAATTAATTCACACCTCTATGTAATACAATTTAGGTATTCCATACAGGTGTGAGTATAACAAAAAGTTGCCCCCTGGTGGGGTTTGAAAATGAAATTTAATTAATTAAATCAGACAACTGAGGATATATGAGGACTAATCACAGAGCTGCGCAGTGGAATTAAAGATGTTAAGTGGGCCCTGTAATTAAATATCCCAGAAGTCCGATTTATGGACCGTGAGAGGTCTGATATGTTGTCCTCCTTCACACCTTCTTCAGCTTAATTCTAACACTTCTTAAAACTAATAGATGTGTTTATTTGAACACTCCATGAATTGAAATGTGCTACTCTGATGAAAGATTGTGACGTGAATTGACACTCTGTAAAACTGTAAAATTGCAAATAGTAATATTGGAATATTGATTGAACATATTTATGAAACTGTTTTCAGTAAATATTTACCAAAGGTATGACTACAAGATGTTTATATATATGGATTCGGTTAAGCCGATTACTCATGAATTCACCAAATTGATATTAAATATTATGAACTGAACTTATAAAAATTGCACTGTCAAAATATATTCACAAAATGTGATCATCAACACTCATTGTGTATACTTTGTATACTTCTTTCAGTTAAGTCAATTCTCTTTTTAATTTATACCAGATTGATACTAAAAATACTAGTTGAAACACAGGTGAATGAAAAGATGGATTTTTGTAAAAATGCTGTATAATGAGTTGAAAATATGGACTGTGATACAATAATTAATTATAAACAATGTGACAACCTTTTGTGCACAATTTAGCAATATTTTGAAAGAGAGAGTGAGAGAGTTGATTGTTTGTTAAGTTTGGTGGTTTGCCACATTTTAAAACTACAAAGTCTCGGGATGACCTAGCCTTGACAACTTTATTTATTTATTTTAGGCCACCAGACTCCCCAAAGATGTTCATATGTATATCAACTGGCCAGTTTACAATTCAATGCAACAGGGAACATTACGTAGTCTTGTGATCTACATCACTCCATTGTTGATTAATGCAACGGGGCCAATCGACTACTGAGTCGATTAATTGACGACTTTTATTTAATATTTACAGTTTATGAATTTAACGGGAGTCTATCCTCATGACCCTTTATCAGCCCTAGCCTTCGACCGAGCACTTTGTTTCCCCCATTTACTTTACGCAATCAAACTCTCACTAATAAAAATGCGATACTCTGATTAAAAATATTACAATACAAGAAAATACAAAATGTTAAGAATAGTAATACTGACAATAGAATTTGACCCTTTACATAAAAACACAAAAATAATAATATATCACAGATAATCATTGTTCTTAAAATTAATAGACCATTTCAATTTAATTTAATAAATAATTTTCAATTGACTATAGTTTCTAATGTAACTTAAATTCTTTGCATGACATGATAAATTCAATTAAATACTTCTCATCCTGAATTGCGACCATGTGCTTTGTTTAATTACTGTTATTATATTTTTTGGTTCAGATTTTGATTCTATTTTTTTTTATATTAAATTAGTTTTATTGTGTTTTTTGTTTATTTGCTCTAGGCAGACCAAGTGAAACATGATATTTTCAGACCAACTATGACATGATTTCTGAATGGTAAAAATGACTTGTACAAGTGGAAAAATGGCAGATTGGCAGGACTACGTTAATACTAAAACACAAAAAACACAAAACATTTACTTACGTACACATGTCGACACATACACATACACTCTCACACGGACGGAACATATAAAAACTGACTCGTGGTGATCTGTGACTTTGTCTGACCGAGCGGAATATCACGACACGGTTTTTTCTGGTGTAGAACTTATTAATTCTTGTTTTTTTTTCGAGCTGGCGTTTAATGATTCAATTGAAAATACCGTCACGACGACCCGCGATTCGCTAGAAACTGACATTTGCTATCGATATGATGCATGTACGAATTTTCATCACGAACGCGAACAATCAATCCGGCATCTCAACTGTCTCGACTTAATACTAGTAAAACACACCCCTAAATGCAATTCGGCGAAATTTTGACAATTGCGATCATTTGATGCACGTACAAATTTTCGCCCGAAGGCGAATTTCCGAGCTACGAATTGAAGATATTAATAAATTCGTCCTACACCAGCGACAAAACGCGACTTTACATGTTGACTACGCGATTACTGAGCCACGAGTGACGACGACGAAACGCTTTGCACACGGCCCGGTTCCCAACGGTCGTTGTATCCTTCCGTGTTACGTCATGTTGGACTGACTTGTCCATTGCCTGGCGCGGATTTTAAATCTTTTGATTTAAAAATCGGCACAGATTTTAAGACATTGACAAGCATTTTGTGGGATTATCATTCTTTAAAAAATCAACATTAAAATCTGCTCCTAAAATTAATTTACAAGATGGTTTTTTTTGTAAAACAAATGTTAAAAGGCTCTCTAATTGATTAAAAAATAAATTACAATTAGAATCGGGGGTTCGAAAAATCGACACAAAACACTACACAAAGTGTGTTATGTGTCGATTTTACGACACATAACACTCGGAGGGTTAATGTGTTAGTTAGTCAGATAAAGTTAAGTTACAAAAAAAGTTAACTTGTACACTTAAAAATTTGTTTGTTATTACAGTCGTTATGAGCGAACATCTGTCAATAGCAGCAGCTTCAGAGATGATTCAATCTCATCTCGCACCAAGCCCTCTGAAAGCAGACTTGTACGAGAACGATATGCGGAGAATTCCAAAAGTGAGTTACTGAGCGAGTGTGTTCAGATTGTAATAAACAAACATCAATGTATACAGATAACAGCAGCTTAGGAGACAACAAGTGAAATCCAAAACCAGTATCAGACCTAATTCAGACTCTTTTTTAGCAAATTTCCCATACAGGGAATAAGCTAAAGCTATTACCGTAGACCTGGGACCAATTTAATTTTTCGTTTTGGGGTCCTCAGAGGCCAAAAACACCCTCCGTTAAAATTCATATACAGACTGTCCCAAAAGTCCCGGACCGACTTAATACTTAAAATAGAGCTGCAACACTTTGCACAAAGTTGCACTGGACATAAAAATCAATTTTATCACATATTCAGTGATCCGCTACTATTCTCTCAGGAGGACAGCCTGCTAGGAGTCAAAAGAAAATCTTAAAAGCAAGCATAGGTTGATATGCATATAAAATAAAAGGTCTATCAAATAAAATACATAGCAAAAGAAAGGTAGTGTTATTGAAAAAAATATAAAATCATGCTCTGCTCAACACTTCATCAATAATCTTGAAAAACTTACTCTTTATTTAGGCCTGTAATAACCTCAGATACCTTGGGAACTCAGATAAGCCAACCGGGGCTCTCAAAATTTGGAGTGCATTATATGAAACAGTTTAAAATTATTTCAGACTTTCTTGGCATGAGTATTTACCTTATGCTGTAAGAACTCTTGTATTTTATTCTCGTTTAATTGACAGGTGAGAGGTTTGTGGAGCGAGGGGGTGATTCTTGGCATGGTGGTGGCAGTAGTGGAGGTGGTGGATCCATGAAGACCTTCAACTCTCGAGGGGATACCTGGGTGTCTGGCTCAAGTGAGCGGAAACCTGATCATCTTCCAGAGCCTTGGACTCGGCCCACTAACTCCAGCACTAGGTAAGTGTAAGTAAATTCTTCCTTTCTTTTAATTATGTTAGTCATTCAAAACTATAACTGCTACCACCACATCTACTCAACAAATATTTTCTGGTTAAAACTTTAAAATCAATTTAGTTGTCAATTTTGATGGTATTAAGATTTGAGTTTATGTTTTGAAACATCACTAATATATTATTACACATACTTAAATAACCTTAACTAAAACAGTTACATATTCTCTCAATTGTTTTAGTTCTATTATTTGTAAATTAAGAGATTAAATTATTGATTTTCGGATTTCTGACTAAGCAGATTCAAGATTAGGCTTTGACAGTTAACTTTATTTTTTCCATATTATTAAGAGTCTGCGAGCCCCTATATTTTCAGGTCAGGTCGTTCGTCCGAGGGATTGGTTCAGGTCAGAAATAATTTTTGGGCCAAGCTCGAGTACAGTAATTATTTATGTTAGAGGTGTGCAAGGGACTCAATTTTCAGCTAGGCAAGCTCTCACTTTTGTTTTGCAGTAAGCGTCTGCAAAGATGTACGATCGAAAACTGACAATTGTGCTGCTGTCGTGGGTGATGTTAACAGTTTTGTGGTGACATACGATATCTTATTATCAAATTCAAATTCTTTACCAACTCATCACATCTTTACACACACACACACACACACACAAGAGATTTTTATAAGAGATGAATAAGAGAGTTTAGTCAAGATAAATTAGGATGCAGCCCGGGGTAAGTGCGTCAACGTATATCAACGTCAATAAAACTTATTATAATTAAAATTAAGTGTGATAAATTTATTGTTCTGGCAATTCTTTAAAACTACATGAAATCGTACAAATCCGGTCCGTAGTAGGTAAAAGATATACAGTACTGCATATGATTTTAACAACAACAACCAACTAACTAAAGACTCTGTTTTATGAGTATCATCTTTTCAAATCACCCTGATAAATTTTCTCATAATAAGACAGTTTTCCAATAATAACTTATGTACAGATTTTAAGATATTTTTAAGACCTTTTTTTATTCAAGCTTTGTTATAGCCTGATCAAATTGTAGGCTGCCATGTAATTTGGACTCTTAAATATTTATTACAATTTCTTTGTTTATGAACTAGGCCTTCTTTAGTCTTGAGTAAACCCCAAGTTTTCTATGTTGTACGCTGCCTTACATTATTTCCTGTTCCTTAAGTGAATAATAGTTCATTTTTGACCAAACAACAAGATTGTTGTATTTGGCTGAGAAATCCACGTAATACCTACTTACAGACATTGAATAAATTAAATGCACAATTTTCTTGTTATTGTAACTAATTGTTGGTTTCATCTGATTTCAGATGGCCAGGCGCCGCTGGTCCCATGGGGATGAGTAGTCGAAGTGGTCCTCAGAGTGGAATGTCAAATCCCATATTTGGCAGTAACAACTTGTCCACCATAACTGGCATGGGTATCGGCATGTCCAACTTGGGGCCCTTCAGTGGGGGAGACAGATTTGATGCTTACAAACAGCCATATTTCAAGGGCCCTTAGGAGAGACCAGAATAATTTATATAATTAAGGTTAACTGTAGAACTTCTCCAGACAGTAATGTGGAACAATGTTGTTGCAGGGTTTTTGGTAAAGAGCCACCGAGTTACCAGCGACATTCCACATTTTACAAATAGTTTTATGTTGTAATTTAAAAAAATATGTGTGGTTTCTATATAGTTGATTCTGTGTTTAAATTCCCTTCCCTGTTTGAATGTAATTTTTATGAAAATATTAAATAATGTACTATGTTTACATTCAATAAAGCATTTCACATTTGAACGCAACTATCACAACAGATATCTTAGTGTTGCCCACTTGTGTATTTGCTTAGTTAGTTTTTATTTTGTTAGATTGTATAAAGCAGCCTTGTAGTAAAGTAATTTCTTTTGGATCTTTATGTTCATTTATTGTAACCGATTAATTTATTTTATTACTAAATAATGTCTGAAGGTGTGTTAATTCAAGAAGCAAAAACATTATATTGATGTTCTATTTCTTACACAAGAATATTATTCACACATCTTGCTTCAACAAACTCTATTTCCAAACTAAACCAATGTTTACAAAAATCATCTGACAACAAAACATTTAAATACAAATAAATCATATGATAATAAGAACAGACTTAATACAACATCCCGCCTCAAGATGTCCATATCTTTATGAACCTCAGTACCACTTCGGTTTCTTAATGGACCTTCCGTAACGGGTTGTTGTGCCAGCTCCTGGACGATCACGTGAATTGCATGGACGATTAAGGACCATGGATGAACAGTTTGAAAGAATACCATCTCCTCCGTAGTACGGTGCAGGAACTAAGAACTTCCTGTTTCGGCGAATGGTTCTCTTGTCAGTTTCCACAAAGTAGGAACGTGGTTCGTTCAATTTCCTGACTACCTTACCGTGTCGACGTAGATCTGTGATCCATACCATGCTTCCAACTTCTAATTCACTTAAACCACTCACTCCATGTCGTTTATCAAATTGTATCTTGTACTTATTCTGGTACTTATTCTCCCTCTCAAAAAAATTCTTGTTTTCCACAGGATTTCCAACCAAAGTAGATGGAAGATTGTCTCTTAATTTCCTTCCAAACATAAGTTCAGATGGGGAAAAGCCGGTTTCAAGAGGTGCGGTCCGGTAAGAAAGTAGGGCAAGTTCAAATTTATCCTTGTTTTTCTTCATTAGCCCTTTTGCTACTTTCACAGCTACTTCAGCTGCCCCATTTCCCTGATGGTGGTGGGGACTACTTCTGAATGTGGAGAACCCCCACTCCTTTGCAAACAATTTAAATTCACTTGAGTCAATATGGTGAAACTGTGTCCCACTATCTGAATAAACACGTTGAGGAATGTGAAAATGTGGTTTTGCATACCCGAATCACATCTGAAGCCCTCATTCGATGCATTTCCTCGACTTCAAAGTATCTTGAGTAGTGATCCACGATAACCATATACCACTTCGTATTTGAACAAGTCAACAGACACATTTTGCCACGGGTAATCCGGGACAGTTCTCGGAATCAACGGTTCACTGTGATTAGTTGAGTTCTGAATACACACTGGACACGATTTGATTTTCCTTTCTATTTCTTGAGAAATTCCAGGCCACCACATGGTTCCCAAAGCACGTTTCCTTGTTTTTGTGATTCCCAAGTGTTCACTGTGAAGCCTCTCGAGCATTTCCGCTCGTAGTTTCTGAGGTATTATCATCCGAGTTCCTCGAAGCAATAACCCATCAATACAACTTAACTCGTCTTTTACGTTAACGTACTCTTGAATTTCATTAGGTAAACTTGGTTTTACAGGCCATTTGTCTAAAATTTGTAATTTAAGTTGTGCACAGATTGGATCTTTCATTTGTGAGTGAAGTACCTTTGTCACATTTTCGTCTGTAGTGTTTATACTAATCTGACTGATTTCGTGGACGAAGGCTTCCACTTCTTCGGTCAATTCGCCATCTTCATTAGCCACAATAGGACTTCTTGATAGTAGATCTGCTATGGCAAGGTCTTTTCCTATGGTCCAGGTCATGCGATAATCGTATCTCATCATAAGCATTTGGAATCGCTGTAGCCTCGGTGAGAGCTCGTCCAAATTTTGTGTTTTGAAAATTGAGACAAGCAGTTTATGGTCGGTCTCAATTGTGTACATTTTACCCATTAGGAAACATTTCAAACGGTCACTTGCCCATGTGCACGCAAGCGCTTCTCTCTCAATGTTACTGTAGTTTTCTTCAGCAGGCGTTACAGTCCGAGATATATATGCCACAGGTTTCTTGTTTTCTCCTTCAACCTGAAGTAAAACCACTTCAAGACCTTTTTTTGAAGCATCACAAGAAAGAATCGAGGGTTTTTGCGGATCGTAAACAGTCAAACATGGCTCTGATGATAAAATCTGTTTTACTGTGACAAAAGCTTTTTCTTGAGCTGGTCCCCAAAAGAAATCGTTTTTAGTCTTTAACAAGCTCGTAATTGGCTCCAAAATCTCACTGCGGTTCGGAATAAATTTTGCCAGAAAAGTGATCATGCCCATGAATCTTTGTACTATTCCACACACATCTATTGTATTGAATAAACTCTGGGGCAACTCACCCTCTGTCATAGATGCTTTCATATGTCAGAAAAAGGCTCTCAGAGTCATGGCTGGGCTAGATTCTTCAGACTCTTGTAGAACAATTTTTCCACTATTTAATATGAGACGTAGGAATTGGCTAACTCAGGAACTCGCTAACTCGGTCGTGTGTCGGAATTGGCTTACCGTCTCAGTCAGGAATTGGCTAACTCCGGAACCCGCTAACTCGATTTTGTCTCGCGGTGGAATTCGCTAACTCTGGAAGTCGCTAACCCAGCCGCGCCCACTGCATAGAGCGTTGCCAACCTTGCACGACGAAATAATCGTACACTGCCGTATTTCAAAATATCAGTGTCAATGAAGATACAGTAAACGTTATTGTTTTTTGTTATTAACTCCACTTTGAACAGATAACTAGCCCAAAGTAATTAAAAGACGATTAAAAAGTAATGAAAAAGTGTTTTTTTATTGAACTGTACAATGGCCAATTAATTAAATGTTTATGATTTTGATCTAAACATAAATGCTATCAGTATAAAAAAAATAATAAAATATGAAAAATATTGAAAATTCAGTTTAATTGGTACTAAATAATTAAACATCTACGAAATTAATCTAAAATACACGCAAGTTCTCAAACACGGAAAACAAATTTAATCGTAATGTCGTAATAAACCAAAACCATCAATTAATACAGTAATCAACCATTGTAACTTTCATAACTAATTCATATATTAAAATTAAAATTTTCGTCGTTGAATCTTCCAACTTACGTGTAAAAAAATATGACATAGACTAAGTTTCATATCAATTATAGAATAGCTTAGGCCTAAATCTAGGCCTAATAGTTTAAACCAAAGCATTGTAGGTCTACTAGTAAATAGTTGCCTAATTCTAAAATGTGTTGAATTTTTTAGTAATAATGTTACATGTTTTAAAACAGTTTTTAGATTGTACACCTATGAACCTCTAGTAAATAATAGGAGAAGATATAATACATATAATAAAACGGAACAGGGTTATTTTAATTCACGATTCTTAATCAACGACTTGACGGATTTTCCTGATTTGAGTGTTGGGTTTCCTTTATATTGTTTTTATAATCGAGTGTATACCAAGCCATTGCTTGGTTCCCCGTTCCCCGGTACTGAGCTACTCAATAGACAATAGCTTTGTTTTTAGATAAGATCAGGTAGTTTTAGCTATAGCCACCATTCATAAAAATGGTAACAAACAAGAACGCCTGGCAGTGGCGGTTCCAAGGGGCTAAAGCCCCCCCCCCCCCCTTTACCCTGGAAAAATAAATTTAAACGTACATTTCGCCCTTACAACACGCAATGTCATAAAACAGACATCAATGTAGATTTTATTAAACTTAATTAGCGATGGCAGGAGTAGTACCGTATTAAGTTCCACATAGATCAACTTTGTGGACAATAGCACCGCAAATCTATAATCTATTACTTATTTAATACGCAAGCAGATTTTTTGTGACAATTACTCCTCCGAAACTACTGAACCGATTGCCATGTTTTTGGTGTCATTGGAAAGAGCGTAACGTGGAGTTGTGCATTAAACTTTCTTTTTAGGGAAATGATTAGGGAGTGAGGCCCTGGAGTCCTTTAAAGTTTCGTATTTCTCCATAAGATTAACATTGGAAACAACAATTGATATGAAACTGCAGCTGTTGTCAGAAATAAAAAGTGAGAAGAAGGGCATGTTGATTGTAAACAGTCAATAAGTTTGCTAATTTAACAGTTTGATACAAACATTTGCTGACTTGGTTGAAATTTGTTTTAAAATAACGCCTGTAATACTCAGCAATTGCTCGAATTCGAGCAACAGGGACACTAGTAATTATTTAATACACAAGCAGATTTTTTGTGACAATTAGGCGGTCGACACACGGGAAGACTGAAACCCAACTAAAGTTGAACCAACTGTTTTGTGACGCGATTACGGTTGCAGTTGCGTTGGTTAAATCCGCACACGGGCGCGACTATAATTGAGTTGAGACAGTGAATGAGTTCTAATTTTGTTATAACGATACTGTGTAGGTACTGTGTATGGTGTTTGAAATGAGTAATAGTGATGAAGAAGCCTTAGTGTTTTATAAACAATCAAGAAAGCGTAGAGTAGAAGGTGTTGGGTACATCCTTATGTTAAAACAAATATTTAATGTAGGCTCTTTGTAGCTGCTGCTGCATTACAAGAAACAGACGCAAAATTTCAGTCTATGTACACAAGATGTCAAAAAGTGCTTACGAAGAGTTATCGCAGTTGGTATATCTGATCCTTGAAAAGCACAATACAAATATGCGAAAAGTTGTTCAAACCAGGCGACTGAAATCACCTAGCAACCGGCAGGTCCGGTTGCTTAACGACTGATCGCTGACTGGTCCTCAACTGGTCGCATCGCAGTCGCACCGTGTGCACTGTCCCACCTAACTACATTGGTCGGGACGAAGGCGACTAGTTTGTCCAACTGGTTGCTGATTTCAGTTGGAAAACAGTCTTCCCGTGTGTCGACAGCCTTACTCCTCCGAAACTACTGAACCGATTGACATGTTTTTGGTGTCATTGTAAAGAGCGTAACGTGAAGTTGTGCAGGAAACTTTTTTTATATGGAAATAATTAGAGAGTGAGGCCCTGGGGCCCTTTAACCTTTGTATTTCTCCATAAGATTAACATGGGAAACAAACATTGTTATGAAACTCCAGCTGTTGTCAGAAATGCTGTTCTGCTATTTAATTTAATTTGTTTACAAGGATTCTCAGTGCCATGTGGTCAATAAGTTATACTTTTGCATATATTTTAA